TCTTTAACAAATAGGGTTGTTGGTGAAATTGTTATATGTGGGTACAAATCTTTGATTGAGAATTAATAGGTTCAGGGGATATATGCATTATGATTTCAATTAATTATATAGAATAATGAAGCATACTGCATTGTACATACTTAGAATCCACATAACTTTTGCAACTATATTGATTACAGGCTTAAGTTTAGAAAACTACAGTACAGCACAGTTGAAGTAATTTCAACTTAACAACATTGAAAATGGAAATCTGCTGCATGAGAAGTAATGACTTGTGTTATCAAAATGTTGAAAAAGTTGATTTTTTTACCAAATTCATGTTTATTTTATTTTATATCTACATAATACCACTATTGCGCTTTCGCTTAATTTGGTCGGTGTTGAGTGGTACTTATTTACCTATTTCTTGCAAAAAAGGCAAATTGCTTCATCCTGCGAAGGCTTTTTATTGTCTATTAGCTTTGAGGATGTAGCCCCTCACCTTAACAACTTTTCAGGGAGTTGAGAGACACCAAAATTCACGGATGAGGAAGATTGTGGCCACAAAAACTGACAGGGAATGAGAGATTAGACTGGAGTAAGTGTATACAAACTGGCGTAGACAAATTTGAGTTGATTTATGAAGAAATCTCTATTTCTTGGGGGATGTAGTTTGTAATTTGGTTAAGAAATAGGTCAGTATACATTACGCAAGTGTGTACGCATAAAAACATAACATTCTGAATTGTTGTCTTGAGACAACAATAATACATTTCAGAAACTATTCAAATCAAGTCATATCATTCTCTTAAAGTAAATTGTTGTAAAAATTATCTGATCTGCGTAAAAAAGGGAGCTCTAGTGTGTTGCCTAATAGTTTGGCTTTACTGAGTAAGGAAGTATCTCACTAGACTTGGATAGAAATAAAATATTTCATCATTTATGAAGTCAATATTGGCCATCATAATAACACGACTACCAAATGTTTCCTTTGTATTTCTCTAATGACCTTTTGCAAAAACAAATGATTTATTGATGTATATCAAAGTCTATTATTGGAATTGACCAGACTATCTTAAGTGAAGATAAAACATCCTAAGGACCTAAAAAAAGACAATTGCGTAATTTTAGAAGGGTCATGAATAACCCTCTCACTCTAAACTTAAAGCAATTCTCTAAATATAAATTTTGCTTATTTAAAGATTTGTTTAGGACCTGTGAATACCGTGTATGCTCAATACCATAGCAGGTCATAGGGTGTGAGTTTATGTTATTGGCCCTTGTAATCAGAAAAATGGCAGCTCCATGGGATGGTTTGCCATCACACTTAAAAAGTTTTCTTAAAGTATTAAATGTACAAACATTATCATTCATGACCTAATACCACCCATCCGCGCCTCATTCATTATGGGAAGGAAACAACACCAAATTTCTTATTTTAGGCCTTAGCAATTCACTGTTTTTGTTGGACCTTTCCCAAATTAAAGTTTGTTCATGTTTTATGTTTCATTTCTTGTTTACTATTTACAATAAAACATTGTAACCTCTTTATCAATAATGTATGAATTATTGCGAGAGTGTTAGTGATACAGACTATAGTGAGTGATTTTTGGTTGAAAAGATACAAAACAGGCGCTTTCTTAACGGCGAAATATATCCACATTTTTAAAGGCGAGCGCACAAGGATCTTAATTCCCAAACCAAAAATCGCATGAAAAGCTAACATTGTCAAGATTGTATCACAAGCTGCGCAAGCTTAAGTTGCAAGCTTGCTACTGGCTAGTAATTGAGAACCTTGCGGCAAGCCTTGCGGAAGCTTGCGATTCAGAAATTATTTAAAAAAACACACACTCTGACATCTGGCAAACTAGTTTAATATTTAAGCTTGGCGCTAAGCTAATCGCAAGCTTGCAGCAAGCAGAGCGCAAAGCTAATCCGGTAAGCTTGCGGCAAGCTTATTCGCATTAGCTTGCGCGGTTTAATCTGGCAAGCCTGCACAGGCTATAGTCGCAAGCTTGTGCATGTATAACTACAAGCTTAATGTATAAGCTTGCACAAGCTTACACTGCTATAAGCTTGCGCAAGCCCCCTTTTTAAAATCGCAGGCTTTGCAAAACTGTAAACCCTGATATTGGAAAGGGAGCTGCTACGTATAACAGTCTCTGAATCCTATATAACATTGCAAAAAAAAAAAGGCATTAAATTACCATGAATAAACTTATTTAATCATAAAATTGTAAAAAAGAAGCTGATGTTAAATTTTTCATATACTAATGTTTTCTTCCAATTACCATGGTAAATAGTCCAGCCTTGATGGAATGACATTGAAAAAATCCAGCCTAATTCCAGATCCCTGAATGTTTCTTAAAATGTAAAATTTTCTGGGATGGAATTCAGCACAGGAATGTTTGGGGTAGAATTTTTATGAGTTTAACATGATCACATATTTCTTTCACAAAATTTAAATACATATCCTTTAGTCCAAAAATACAGAATAGTAACACCCTGCATTCACTATAACACAAATAATTTTTTTCTAGCTGCAGGTTTTGTAGGTTCTTGTTTTCTTAGAATCAACACTTTGTTTTAAGCAATTTATTTTGCTCTTAGTCCTTGTCAGTGACAAACTATTCAATCTTAAATTTGTTTTAAATGTTTCTGATTATTTTAAATTACTTATTTCTTTTATCAGTGTCCATTTTTAGTCCTCTGCCTGTGTTTCCTTAGACTTTCTTATGGTTGTGCTGACCTTTAAAGATAAAATTCATAATTATTAAATACAGATGCAGTAATGAACTATGTGTTTTATTGCATAAATGCAGTTAATTACATATCTTTTAATAACATCGAACTAATGTTTCAACAGTATTAACTATTAAATATTAACTATGTTATGCATTTTCAAAAAATACTAAAGCAATGCAGTATATCTTATTCAATGTGCACAAATTTAAGAATTTCTCTTATGAGATTAAGTAAATTTGTGACAATATTTATTACCCAGTATGTATTTTTTCAAGAAGATGTTGAATAGAAAAGTATTGAGATTTAATAATATACCTTTTCAGGATTAATATGCACATCATTTATTAAACACTGCCCCTATTTCTCACAGTCCACTTATGCTCCCAGTCTGCAAATTATTTATGTATAATGTAATTTTAGATTGTTCCATTGAAAACACAACACATACATGAAAATAACAAATGATTAGATTGACCCTGTTCAGCGTACAACTTTTAACTACTGATTGTACCATTTAGTCCTATTTAATCAAATTATTTAATTTGTTTAATTTGCAGGAAAATGAAAAAGATCTACTAACATGCCATTTAAACAAATAAAACAATCATTAAAAAGAAATCATTGAATAATTTTATATTTTACAGATTTATACATGTATAGATTAAAAAGAATTATCAAAAAACAAAATGCATGAAGTTGAAAATCATTTAAAAACAACCTTGATCTCTTGTTACAAATGTTTAATAATTTGATATATAACCTTTTTCTGCATTTAATGTAACTAAGGTTTATAAATACCTTGATTTGTTGTTATTCTCCTTGTTCCCAGGTGATTCTGATTGTTATCAAACAAATAACTTAAACAACTTTAAATGTTAAACAAAACAATATCTCCAAAACTGCTAAAAAATATCAAGTACATTCCTCTGCTCTCTTTGCTGACCCATATATCTTAGAATTCAAATTTTAAACAGTTACTGTAAAACTGGACAGGTCTATCATTATGTAAAGCAGGGTTAATCTACTCATCATTTTTTAACTTTCATTCTTGAGCGTAAAAAAAAATATCAAATAGCTAATAGATATATAGATTTTTAAAAAATCATTACAAATTTTTTGTACAAAAAGATTGCAATGTCCTTCTAGACATATTCTGTATATGAAATTTATTAAATGTTATCTCTCCCCAAAATAATCACATGGAACAGCCTGATTTCTGTCGGAATGACCAGAGAGTAAATTAGTCATGCACAGATGGTCAATGAATTTTATCAAGGCTCTGATGTGTGTAGCGTAAAATCTCAGTGGTGGAGTATTTATTTTTCCTAAATAAAAGCAATATATATTGATTAATTTAATATAGAATATATATGAGATTATTTCATGCACTGTTTTTGTTTTGTTTATTTATTTATTGTTATCCAAAAACATGAATTTTTTAGAATTTAAAAATGGCAAGCAAATGCAATCCCCATCTTGATTATTATAGTGTCTGAATGATTGAATACAGACTTTAATTAATTTATAGTTAAACTTAAAGCCTGTAATTAAATGGATATTATTCATTGTACATAACTTCAATGTAGATTTTATTGAAATAATAATATGTATTAACAATCAATTCATTTACTTCTTTTGCACAGACATTTTTTCTGAGATACCCTTTTCCAACTACATGAAATGTATAAAGTGTCAAATTTCAAATCATTTACAGTAACTTGCATTAAAATAGATGATGATTTTTATATTTTTTCGTAAATTTACAATACTGAGCTGAATATATTTAAAATAACTAATAACTAATAATAAACTTTAGCGTGGTAATTTAGTTTAAACTAGTTAATTATCACTGATACTATCATTTTTGGAATTTTTATTTTAATGTGTTACACTTTTGACAAAAATTTTTCTAAGTATTTCAATTACTTTCACAAGAAATTTCTAAGTGTAGATTTGTACAAAAATTTTCTAAGTGTCTACTAATTGCAAAGCTTGGGCATTGCAAGCTTACAATCAAATGTTTTGCAAGCTTGCATGAATTTTTTAAACAAGCTTGCAATATATTTCAAAAGTCATCGCAAGCTTGCGCAAGCTTGTTGCAAGCATGCAGCAACCTTGTATTTAAGCTGTAAGCTTGCGGCAAGCTTGTGACAAGCTTGCGGCAAGCTTGTCGCAGGCATGCATTTTGGTTTTTTAATTAGAAGCAAATTAATTTTTCACTGTTTAGAATTGCAAAAATGTCTTTTATAACATTTGAACAATTGTTTTATAGTAAGTTAAATGCTTATAACTTACAGAAAGAAGCCTGAATGTGACATTATTTGTCAAAAAAGTAGCAATTGTAAACAAAGTAGTATTTTGACTTCCATACAAAGTACTAATTCAGACACTATAAATATATACTTATTAGGATGAAGCAATAAATTTATAAAAGCAAAAGAATGTATCCAAGAAAGTTATTTTTGAAAACCAAGACATAAAAAACAAAGGCTTTTTGAATAATGAGAATGGCAGCATTTTTGTGGCCTAATGGGCCTTTAATCAATAAAGGAAAAATCTGAAATTAAACACAAGTGACATTATTTATCAGATCCATTATTTTAATTAAATTTTCCATTACAAATTTTGATTTTTCTCAGAGCTATTTATTTGGTAATTTGAATTGTGTTCTTGCAGTTACAGACTTATTTCATGTCCAAGGGAAAAACATGGCACTATTTAAGGGAAAATATAGCATTTTTGGCTAGGGGAAACAGCTGCTGGAAAAGGCTATAAAATATACGAAAAAAAATGACTGTCTTTATTCTCGGTTCCAGCAACTTCTAATACCATGACAATTATTGTAAAAAAAAATCCACTTGAATTTGTTTCTACCTTACAGGTCAAATTATTGAAATTTTCTTATTTGTTTGCTGAAGTGGCTATAATTTTGTTTGATGTCATTTATATACTTTAATATATTATATTCTTTGGATACAACTGTCATTTATGTCAAGCCAAATTTTACCTTGGATCATTAAAGGCCCTGAAGGTTAAATTATATTATTTTCATTGATTTCTGTAACTGTGTAATTAGGCCACATTTAAGGTAGGCGGCCAAAAAAAAAATCCCCCAGAAAACCAAAATAGAATTGAAGGAAAATATCGCAAAAATTGTCTTTGAAATACTGCCGTGTTGTATAAAAATTAAATATAATTTTTCAAGGTTATTCAGGAATATTTAAGAAAATCAGTTGTGTCACAACAGTAATTTGACCGCTTAAATTTATGCCTACAAAGTCATTTTATTTTGTGTTATGATTACTATGGAATATGTCTCTGTTTTTAGCTCGACTATTCGATAAGAATAAGTAGAGCTATTGCAGTCACCCGAGCGTCGGCGTAACCACTAATGTTAAAGTTTTTGTAATAGTTCAAATATTTTCAAAGTCCAGAGACATATGGCTTTGAAACTTTGCACACTTGTTCACCATCATGACCCCAACCTGTAAACAGGAGGAGGTAACTCTATCAAGCATATTGACAGAATTATGCCCCTTTTTCGACTTAGAATTTACGTTAAAGTTTTTGTAATAGTTCAAATATTTTCAAAGTCCACTGACATATGGCTTTGAAACTTTGCACACTTGTTCACCATCATGACCCCAACCTGTAAACAGGAGGAGGTAACTCTATCAAGCATTTTTTTTACTATCAAGCACTAAGAATAGTCGAGCGTTGCTGTCCTACCGACAGCTCTTGTTTACTGTCTAATACATGTCAGGTTCGTCATCGCCAGGTTCGTCATCGCTGATGATGATGATGTCCATATTTTTACAATTCATCTGCTACAACCAAGCATATATATATACTTGAGTTCTGTGAAAATCATATATCATCAAAAAAAAGCCTTCTTACCCATAACGATCCACTCCTTGCAACCTTTTGGTCGGCAACAGCAAACAGATATATTTTAAAGGTGGCCTTAATTAAAGTGGAATATCTTCATACTTTAACGCTAGAACAAAATCTATTCAATTTAGGCATAAAAAAATAACAAAAACTAGACAACTGGGCAGAAGTGCTACCACCAGATTCGGTTAATACAGAATTGTGTCCTGTACCTTGAACGACCGCCATCATTGGTACAAATGATCGAATCCGATCATGGTAAAATAATTAATGGTAAGAGTAGTTGAGAAACCTTGTTTTGTACCTTTGTCCCATGAAACGGGATCGCCACCATCGGAACAAATGACCGAATCAGATCATGGTGATAAAATAGAAAGGATACATACTCTCAGTCTCTGATCAAATAATTGAAATTTTCAAAAATGCAAAAGAAAGACACCTTAAACTTTGAAATAGCATGTCAATAAAACAAAATAGAAGTCAATTCAAGTCTGAAAAAAAATGCATGACTGTTCTCAATTTACAGGTTTTTTTTCACAATTTCATGGAGCATCACGCTTTTTTTTCACAAAATGAACAGGCCCAGGCCCCTTCACAATTGTGACAAAAAATGCCCTGTATTTTATTCTTTGTTTCTTTTTTTCAGAGATACTGAAAAAGAAACCTGAATCCTTGGCCGCTTTTTTAGACAATGTGGATTGGGCTATTTGGCAACTTCAAACTTGTAAGTGTTCCACATTTTTTTCTTTCAATTTTTATGCCACAGCAGCCTCTGTCATATGGTGGCAAAAACTGAATCAGATGTATTTGTGTGTGTCTGGGTAAACTATATCAACAAAACTTGTCAAATTGTTACTTGGGTGAAGGGCTTCCAAATTTGTTTTTTTTTTTTTTTTTTTTTTACTAATTATTGTTTTTTTAACCTCTCAGTTTTAGTTTTGATATATGTAATCAAAATATATATTTTTATGTAAATCTGAGAAAAACAAATGATTTTTTTTTTTTTTTTTTTGTAAATCTGAGAAGTTTGCCATTCTGCTCGCTCCTATGACAGCTCTTGCTTGCTTTAAGTTTAATCACAGGTGGGTATTGTTGTTTTAGTGCATTATTAGCATTTAGTTTTTAGGATTGTTGAATGTTGGTCGTCCGCCCACATTAGTTTAAGACTCTTATGGTCACATTTTTGTCTCAATCATCATCAAACTTATCAGGATACCTATTTTAAAAAAAATCTACTTCTGTTTTAATGGTGCGGTGTCATAGCATTTTTTTCACAAATGCATTCTTGCTTTACTTAGAGACTTAAAATTTGGATCAGATGCATACATGCCATATCCCCGCCGGGGGACAAAAACCCCCGATTTTCGACCATGTCTCCCGATCTCCCGCCGTGGGATCGAAATCCCCCGATTTTCAAAAATTCAACCAACAAAAAATTAAAGCATAATTTTTACCAATAAACATAATTAAACAAGAGACTTAAACAACTATATATGCCTGAGGTAATATTTCCCCATTAAACAGCAGGGGTCCAACGGATAATTGTATTGTTAGTTACTCCGACACACTTCAGCTGTCGAGGAATAACAAATTCTCCTTTGATAAACCTGTCAATCAGTGTCAGTATTGCAGGTGCTTAACCAATGACAGCGTCCGATACTGAATGTGTGACGTATCAATATTTGTTGGGCTATGTAACCCCGCCTTGAGTTTGTTGTTGGCATTGGGTCTTTGAAGTTGATAAGTGCAGATAAAAAAATAATGATCAGGCAATAGAATCTCAAAGAATCACAGATTAGCAATGTTTGAATCTATTATTTTTTATGTAACTGTGATCTATGTTGTTGCAAAAATAATATAAACTAGCTTTGTCTCACAGTAAGCAACAAACACTGAGGAGGGATTGAAAGAGGTAAAAATCCGTTTCAATCAGATAAATAATAAATAATGAATCCCGGACAATCCCCCTCCCGGACGATTCCCCTTCCATATTATTTTCACAACCCGGACATTTCCCCTCTCGTTATTTTAATAGGGTGGACTATTCCCCTCCCGTTAATTTTACAGGACGGACAATTCCCCTCCCGTTATTTTAGCTGAGCGGACAATTCCCCTCCCGTTTTTTTCACATAGCGGAACGTGACATTATACGGCCCTTAATCATAACCGCCACTGTGTATAACCATTCTTATTAAAGATGACAATTTTTACTCTTATAACAACAAACTGTTAAAGATCGGAACTTTTAAGAAGCATTATTTCACAAAAGGTGACATTATACCGCCTTTAATCATTGCTTAAGATAAACAAACTGTCAATAAAAAATCTTTAATCAATGATGCCCTTAATTAAATGTGTCCTTGGTTGCAAAACCAATTATTTACAATTATTTTACCGCTGCAGAAATCACGGTGCATATCCATATCAGTACCCTCTTTGCGAAATCTGCTCTAACGGTACCCTCTTTGAACATGCACAGGTCATTCTCTGCTAAAAACAAATCAGCGATGGATAACAATCAAGTAAAATTTCATTGTAACAAGGAAAGGCAGTATGACACGTAGAAAAGATGTATACCACGGAACACTATAATGTTTTATTTATGTGCTGATTTGTCATGTGCCCGTTTTTCATGTACTGCAACTGCACAATAAGCTACAAAAAATCGACATGTCTTGCCTTTAAAATAAACAATATTATAACATATATATGTTCAACAGTCACGGGAGGGAAATTGTCCGCTCTGACAACAGCGGGAGGGGAATTGTCCGCTCTGCTAAAATAACGTGAGGGGAATTGTCCGCCCTGTAAAATTAACGGGAGGGGAATTGTCCGCCGTAAAAAAAATAACGGGAGGGGAAATGTCCGGGTTGTGAAAAAACATTCAAATTTACTGGGAGGGGAATCGTCCGGGAGGGGAATTGTCCGGATACCATAAATAATACCTGTTTTAACACCCAAAGGGCCAAAATAATTAGGTCCAATTATTATCCAGTACACTCCAAAAAACCTTTACACAACTCTGCATCAATTACACAGTTTACATGTACATACAGGTATCAAGTGACGTAGTGTCTAGACTCCCTACTGCCATATAAGGCAATCGATGTGTGTTAACAAATTGAGGTGTGAACTGAGTAAACTGGATTAAGATTTGTGTCAGATTTGTTTTTTTTTACTGTTTACCAAGTGCCAACACAGTATTTTTTTATTTCACCTTTCTATGGCTACAAAAATTCTCCGTGAAAATGTTGATACCTTTCATTTAAAGAGAAAATTCTGTACCTTTCATTTAAAGAGAAAAAAACTTTGGCTGTTAAAGTATATTTATTTTAATGCATTAAATTCAAGTTATTTGTACTAAAATGATTCAATATATCTGATATAAAAATGTATTTTATATGATATACATTCAATTAATTATATTTGTTTTACAGGGATTCTTATTTTATTTACATCAAATATTTAAAGTACAGTACCTATGTTTATTTGCAATTGTTTACATAATTATTATTATTCTTTCACAGTCATGTATGTTAAAACTTGAAAACATCAAATGATCTTGTAGAAATGTTCATTTTCATAATAAAATGGGGGAAATTTAATTAAATGTTTGCATCGTTTTAAGATCACGACTGGTTTGTGCTTGCTTAAAAAAATCCCCCTACTTTTGGTCCAAATCCCCTGCTTTTTAAAGCCAAATCCCCCTATCTGGGTGGCTGGAAATATGGCATGTATGATCAGATGACATACATATTTATTATTACCATGTAGAATGTATAAAAAAGCTTAATACTTTTGTTGTCCAAAACAGTAACCTTCAAACTATTTTAATTTGCATGTCACATTTGAGTGTATTTATTTATTAGTTATAAAAAAGATTGTCCCATCAAAATTTACCCTGCTCTAGTTTGTTATTAATTGTACATTTATCCTACAAAGTCTCTAGAAACACACTTGCATTATTGATATTTTTTTACAAAGCCTTTACAGAATAATAGGACAAAATATCTCTATTAATATAATGAACAATGAAATGATGGGTCAGGTGAGCGATCTAGGGCCCTCTTGTATAATTTGATAGGTCTGTTTGCTATTTACACAAGAGTATTCCAGGTTCTTTATTTGTGACTTTCACCTAAAGTAACTTTGAACTTGTAGGCACACCAACTCAGGAGAAAGCAAGAGATGTTGCCTTACCTGATGAAGTAAGACCATTACCTAATGAAGATCCAGAAACCCCAGACACTGTCATGCCCAACATAGCTTCAGATACAGTCTTATTTGAGAAACTAACTAACACAACCATAACTGAGGGAGCTATAGACAAAGCCCTACTTCAGAATCATATAGACACAGCCCAAGTTGTGGAAGCGATAGACACAGCCCAAGTTGACGAAGCTACAGCCTTAACTAAGTAATAAATAAAGCACTACTGTTTCTTTATACATTTGAAAACAGCTTATTTAACATTTTCAACTAAACAACAAAAACAAGAATAAATTCTGGGTAGGCAACCCTAGACTTTTTTTTAATTTTTTGAAAAATGAACAAATAATCCAATTCAGACTAGTAATGAAGCTCATGAAAATTATGAATACATTGTTATAATTGAAGAACAGCTTAAACCTTCTCCAAGAATTGAGGAAGTAAGACCCTTACCTGATGAAGATCCAGAAACCCCAGACACTGTAATGCCCAACTCAGCTTCAGATACAGTCTTATTTGAGAAACTAACAAACACAACCATAACCGAGGAAGTTACAGATAAAGCCACATCTGATGAAGCTTTAGGCATAGCCCTACTTCAGAATCTTATAGACACAGCACAAGTTGTGGAAGCTATAGACACAACCCAAGTTGAAGAAGCTATAGACACAACCCAAGTTGAAGAAGCTACAGCCTTAACTAAGGTTACTAAAGACACAGCTTCTCCTAAAGAGGCCTCAGAGAAAGCCTTACAGTGCTACAGTCCAGGGACAGCCTTACCTGGGGAAGTTATCAACAAAGCTGTGCATACAGACACAGATCTACCTGAGCAAGCAAGGAACACTGCTGAAAAAGTCCTTGGGAGCTGTAGTAACGAAGTGCAAGAAAATTGTGAATATACTGTTTTAATTGAAGAACAGCATAAACATTCAACAAATAACCTTGAAATGAAGAAAAATGATGAAGGCAATAAATTCGCTAATGTATCTGTGCTTAAAAGAAACAGTGGGGACCGGAAAAAAGAACAAGTTAAGAAAAGGCCTAAGTTGATTTCAGAATCTGAGAATTCTGATAACAGTCCTTATGAAGTAGACAGTGATTGGTCACCAGCACCTGTCAGGAAAAGGATCAGACAAGTGTTAGAATCTGATGACAATGAGAACAGTGATCAGTCTGAAGTGTTTCCTATGCTTAGTGCAAAGAGGATAAAGCTAAACAATGTAGACAAAGAAAAAAAGGGAGAAATCTATGTGTTGCGTAGATCTAATAAAACTGAAGAAGATTCTGATAAGAACCATCATATGAAGGCACTGGTAAAACTGTGGATTTATCGCAATATGGTCCATGTCCTAATTGTTATGGATGGATTGTTCGTCGCTCTTTGAAAAGACATATGAATGTGTGTTCATCCGAGAACTATTCCTCAAAGCGGTCTTTGATGGTACAATCAGATATTATCATGGGAAAGTTACCAGAAGAGGCATCTCAAGCTCTAGTCAATGAAGTTTTCCCTATAATGAAAAACGATGATATAGCTGAAATTGCATGCCATGACTCTCTTATAATAAACCTAGGAAATCAGTGGATGATGCGTAACAGGGGAAATGAGATAATGAGGAAATATTATACCAGCTCTGTGATGCGCTTAGCAGCAAAATTGAAACAGGCCACTCAAAAACTTTCCAACACAACTCTAGAAATGAGTAAATATTTGGCACCAAAGTATTTTGAAGTTGTTACAAAGGCAGCCTTAGTGTGCTGCCATGCAGAGGATGAAGAAGATTTAAAGGCCCCTAGCAATGCTTTAAAATTAGGGCATGATATAAAGAGAATGGTTGATGCGAAACTTGCCAAAGCAATCATACAAGAAGATAATGATGAGCAAAAAGAAGCCCAAGACTTCCTCAGACTTATGTCAATGCAGTGGGGCCTTCGAGTTACAAAGTTAGCTAGATGTGTTTTAATTGAACGCTCCTTTAATCAAGTGAAGGAGTTACCTCTGCCTGATGATGTAAAAAAACTGTCCATGCACCTTCAAAAAGAATTGTCAGGTGTTGATTTGGAAGACTGTACTTTCTGTAACTTCAGGAAAATCGCTATATTGACGTTAACCAGAATAACACTATTCAACAGGAGAAGATGCCATGAAGTGCAGGCTTTAAGAGGAATTCAAATGTCTTAAACTACCAGGACAGAAACGAATAGAAAAAATAATGAAAGTAAGCTTATCAAAGAATGGAGAAATATACAAACGAAAGAGAGACACCATTAAGAAAAAGCTAAGCAATATGATGATAAAATTAAGAAACAAGTAACATGATTTTCAGGTTAAAGTGCTGAAAATGTGAACCCAAAAAGTTATTTTTTGCCTTGCTGTCTCCTCTGACACTCGTGCTAGTCTGAATTGGATTATTTGTTCATTTTTCAAAAAATTAAAAAAAGTCTAGGGTTGCCTACCCAGAATTTATTCTTGTTTTTGTTGTTTAGTTGAAAATGTTAAATAAGCTGTTTTCAAATGTATAAAGAAACAGTAGTGCTTTATAGTTTAAATGTTTAAAAACAGTTTTAAAGACAGTTGGCAAGAAGCACTTCTAAACAAATATTTACTTTCTGCAACAAATTTAAATTTGTTTGTGTTGGTGCATTCCATAACTATATGTTAATAATTAATTGTGAAATATATTGAAATAATTACATTATTTTCCATAAACTTGGGATTTATTTTGTTAGTATTCAGTAGAAAATGTATTTTGATTACAAGGTGACCGTCAATTTTATGTATTGTTTTTTTAAAGGACAACTGCTTTGCCAGTGGTATAACAGATGATTGCTTGTCATTGTTGCATATCACACTCTTATGTTTATGTGCCTTTGTGATGACTGATGCTGGGCAATGCATTAAGTAAAGAGTTAAGTCTATTGAATTAAAATACCTTTACATTTTTTCAGGGGCATTTGTCACTTTGCTCAACAGCTCTTGTTCATTTAATTGATTGATTATGTTTGATGGATCAGTGTCACATCTGCCTACTTTTTTTTTGTTTCCTTTTTGTTGCGTTTTGTCATTGTATTTCACGGAGCAAGCTGGGAAAGTCTTGTTAAATCTTGCATTAACTTAATTTCAAAACTGTTATATTGACACATTTTTTTTTTAGATATTGTAATAATAAATGCACAAAAGTTTGTTTCTTTATATCATTGATAAAATGAAAGTACATTGCAAATTTTTCCTACATTTATATTTTTTCTCTGCTTTTTTGAAGACGGATATTACCATGACATCAGTGTTAGTTAACCTTTTTAGTTTTTTGTTTATGGTGCATCATTTTAATATTAATTAACCTATAACAAAATAACTTCATATTTGAGTTTACCTCCAACACCCATTTTCAGGTCAAAAGGTCAATGTCACTAAAAAAATTCAATGGGCTGTAAAATAATAATGCATATACCTTGATGAGTTCCGCCTGCCACACCGATTCTCAGGTTAAAGGTCACATGGACCATACATATATGTATGTATGTAGTTATGTAATTGGCCATAAAATGATAGTGCATATATTCAGGGACTTGAATATTAGAATATAGATATACTTCCATGAAATTTACCTTCATCTATTTATGTCAAAGGACAATGTCACTGGTACCTGATATTTTTTAAAATGTTACAGGCCATATTGAAAGTGCATATAACTAGGGGACTACATCTTGATGAACTCTACCTCTCTGAACCATTTTCAGGTTCAAAGGTAAAGGTCAATTGGACTTGTTTTAAGAAATGCAACTGGTCATAAAATGAACGTGCATTTACCCAGTAACTTCAAACTTCCTACATGCATGAACCTCATTGACTTCTTCCTGCCACTTAAAGTTTCAGGTCAAAGCCTCTTGCAACCTGTAAAATGAAAGTGCATATGACTTGTAACTTCAAACATCATTTGTGAATGTAATTTTATCATTTCAACCTTCTACACCTATTTTCAAGTCATTATGCCAGAGGTCAAGTTCACTGGCATCTGTTTTAAAATTGGTGATGAAATGACCAGGAACTCCAAACTTCATGCATGGATGCACATTGATGATTTCTACCTCCTTCAGTCATTTGTGGTCATAAGGTCAAGGTTAAATGTGTAAATTGTGCTTTTTACTAATCCAGAACCATGCTGCTCATTGGACAGCTCTTGTTTAAAAAACAAATTGACTTTTAACTTTTTAAAGTTTGTAGTTTGTTCTCAATGAGAGCCCATGACGCTTAGTATAAATAGAATGTCCTGAAAGAAATTTAACTTTACTGAAGTTGTCTCTGTATTTTTTTGGCGCTTTGACATACTTGTTTAATATTAGAATTATGTATGTTCATGAAAATTAATCAATATCTTTGATGTGAAAGCATAACTTATGTTGAAAATAAAATATATTTTATCTTGAAATTCTTGTTGAGTTTACATCTCAACTGATTAAGAAGAAAGGAAAATAAACTAGAACTGCCACTATCATGGCGTGAATACCCCCGCATACCACTTTGTCAGAATCAACAGTGGCCATTTAGAGCTCAAGGACAACCTCCCAGCCAAATCTGAGGTAACTAAGCCAGTGCATTGCTAAGTTATGTATTCTACATGCTTTAAATGTGAAAATGTCAAAATCAATACATTGCGGACAGGACATTCTTTGGCAATTAAGAAAAAAAGCTTCTTTTTTTGTCAAGGTCCCTGTGACCTTGACCTTTGACCCAGTGACCTCAAAATCAATAGGGGTCACCTTATAGTCATGATCAACATCCATGCCAAATATGAAGACTGTGGGTCAAAGGAATCTTAAGTTATTGGGCAGACAAACTTTTTGAAGTCAAAGTCCCTGTGACCTTGACCTGGTGACCTCAAAATCAATAGGGGTCATCTACTAATCATGACTAACCTCCATGCCGAATATGAAGACTGTGGGTCAAAGGAATCTTAAGTTATAGGGCGGACAAGCTTTTTGAAGTCAAGGCCCCTGTGACCTTGACCTTTGACCTGGTGACCTTAAAGTCAATAGGGGTCATCTACTAATCATGACTAACCTCCATGCCAAATATGAAGACTGTGGGTCAAAGGAATCTTAAGTTATTAGGCGGACAAGCTTTTTGAAGTCAAGGCCCCTGTGACCTTGACCTTTGACCTGGTGACCTCAAAGTCAATAGGGGTCATCTACTAATCATGACTAACCTCCATGCCAAATATGAAGACTGTGGGTCAAAGGAATCTTAAGTTATTGGGCGGACAAGCTTTTTGAAGTCAAGGCCCCTGTGACCTTGACCTTTGACCTGGTGACCTCAAAGTCAATAGGGGTCATCTACTTATCATGACTAGCCTCCATGCCAAATATGAAGACTGTGGGTCAAAGGAATCTTAAGTTATTGGGCGGACAAGCTTTTTGAAGTCAAGGCCCCTGTGACCTTGACCTTTGACCTGGTGACCTCAAAGTCAATAGGGGTCATCTACTAATCATGACTTGCCTCCATGCCAAATATGAAGACTGTGGGTCAAAGGAATCTTAAGTTATTGGGCGGACAAGCTTTTTGAAGTCAAGGCCCCTGTGACCTTGACCTTTGACCTGGTGACCTCAAAATCAATAGGGGTCATCTACTAATCATGACTTACCTCCATGCCAAATATGAAGACTGTGGGTCAAAGGAATCTTAAGTTATTGGGCGGACAAGCTTTTTGAAGTCAAGGCCCCTGTGACCTTGACCTTTGACCTAGTGACCTCAAAATCAATAGGGGTCATCTACTTATCATGACTAACCTCCATGCCAAATATGACGACTGTAGGTCAAAGGAATCTTACGTTATTGGGCGGACAAGCTTTTTGAAGTCAAGGCCCCTGTGACCTTGACCTTTGACCTAGTGACCTCAAAATCAATAGGGGTCATCTACTAATCATGACTAACCTCCATGCCAAATATGAAGACTAAGGGTCAAAGGAATCTTAAGTTATTGGGCGGACAAGAAAAAACCGACGGACAGCCGGACGGCCGGACGGCCGGACAAGCTGATTCCAGTATACCCCCCTTACAACTTTGTTGTGCGGGGGTATAAAAATATATACAGTAGAGCTCCACCATAAACCACCCGTTTGCATGACCAGTCTGCTATTACGATCAATTTTTCAAAGATTTTTTTTCTTATTAGAGTCTTTCTATCCAAAATTGAGACCAACCTGCTATTGCCTAATACAACTATTTTTTCCAAACAATAATTTTGCATGTATTTAGACCATACCTGTTAAATTGTTTAACCATGCGTGACAACACTAATTTTCTGTCAACTGCTGTAGTCAGTATTGTACTTAATTATTACTTAATTATTAACCGTTGTCCTAACAACATCATGAACAAGTTATGGCAGTTGCTAATTGAAAGATATAATAATTGTCAGATATTCATGTTAAGGTTTTCCTTTTTTTTAAATGGTAACAAAAATAACCAATTTGTAACAAGAAAATAGAAGGCTTTGTTAATTAATAATGATATTTTCCGATTTAAATTTAGTTTACCTGTTTATACTTCTTGAAAGTTTTGTTCATAACTTCTGCTTTCAGTTAATACAGTGATACCTTCTTAACGGGTGTTTTTAGCCCGAGTATTCCATAAGAGTAAGTAGAGCTATACCAGTCGGCGTAACCACTTGTGTTTTGTAACATCTCAAATATTTTCAAAGTCTGTTTACATATGTCTTTGAAACTTTGCACACATGTTCAACATCATAACTCCCAACATGTACACAGGAGGAGATAAATCTATCAAGCATTTAGACAGGATTATGTCCCTTTTTCAACTTACAATTTACGTTTAAGTTTTTGTACCACCTGAAAATAAAGTTGATTATTGGCTTTGAAACTGCACATTTGCTTACCATCATGCCCCAAATGTGATCACAGGAGGAGGTAACTCTATCAAGCATTTATCAGAATAATGCCCCTTTTTCGACTTTTACTTTACATTTACATTAAAGTTGGTATACCACCTCATATTTTCATATTACATTGATATTTTGCTTAAATACAAGTTGAAATTTTATACACTTCTTTGAGAGCCTAATAAGACTCTCCAAGGCCTATAACAGTAACATTGATTTTAAGAAAAAATGGCCCTTTTGTTAAATTAGAAAATTTTACATTATCAAGGCTCTTTTACTATTAAGCACTAAGAATAGTCAAGCGACAGCTCTTGTTATGCTGTACTGATGCTGTTTCTGTCATTCCAACTATGAGCTACCATAATTTAATAGTGATACAGAATTTAAATGGAAAGTATTATCTTTAAAAGAAAAGACCAACAAGCGGTCTGGTTACATTAGTGGGGTTCTACTGTATATTTAACCCCAGAGTGATCTTGGGAAGACATCCAACCCCAAAATGTATCATTTATATGATTTCCTGATGTCATCCCCAGAACAACCATTTGTGCAAACATTTGGAGACCTCAAAGTGGTTTTGGACATCAGACTCCACAATGTCTCTCCTGGCTGTACGTCCGTGTTTTAGTGACATTAACATACATAAGTGGCTTCAGTTACGTTTTCTAATGCATTTAAATGGCTAGAATCTCTTATGTGGCTAGCCACATAAGAAAATGAAATGGACATTAAATCCAATAATTATGTGTCTAAATAGACTTATAAAAAAAATAAGGAGTGGAAAGGGGGGGGGGGGGGGTGTCAATCGTATAACGTTATTAATTAGGACGACTTTCTCCTGAATTTTAATGATAAACAGTTAACTTACTAATTTAATAAGTAGTCTTTTAGGTCGACATAATTATCATTTTATAGTATTTCTTTATTTCATTTATTATTCCCTAAAAGCAAGTAAGTTGTAAGTTATTAGTTATTATAAACCCGGTGAATGGGTGCAGCCATGTTGTTCACCCGTTATATCTTAAAGTCGTGATAATTACTACATGTCACGTAATGCAATTCTTCCAGTCATAAAAACAAACACAGCAAGGTGATTTATTTGACACCTTTAATTTTTTATGTGATAGATATATTTACATTGTTTGCAATAATTAGACTTTCGGCAAGTTAGCGATTGATTATCGTGGATTAACGATAATTGTTAAGGGCCGTAAACCATTAATTAACCCGACCATTAAACGCTGCCGAATTCAACAGAGAATGTTAATTGCCGATGCATGAAGAAAGCTATTGCCATCGATAATTGGGGGGCTGTATATTGTAAACTTGTAAGTGTCAACGTTCCTGTGTATTATGTGTACCAGGTCAGAATATGTTTTACGATCGAGAGGTGAAATGTGCGAGATTTGATTTAAGAAAATTTATGAAAATTTTGCAAAATATCCTGATTTTTTTTTCCGGGATCAAATCGATGCCCGGGACATCTCCGGGACAGACATCCGATTTCCGGGACAATCCCGGGCATCCGGGACGTTATGGCATGTATGCTTACGTCGACATGTGGTTAAAATAATTATTTTCACATTCCAAGGTCATTGTTTGTCAAAAGTCTGAAGTATTACTGAAATATTTCACCGTATATTTTTAGAAAAAGCTACAAGAGTAGGAGAAGGAGGGAAGATGGTGCTAGACCTCATGTAAGGCAATTTCTCACAGCATAATAGGAAGTAAGTGAATTCCGAAGTTTAAAGTTGTTAAAAGATGGGTTTCCAAGATGTGATTGCTAATCAGGAGTGGATTTAAAACAAGAGGTATATCTGTATATGGTTAATTACCCTGCATATCTTTGGGATAAGTCCATCCCCTGGGAGGTTCTATTGTTGGAATAAAATTGTCCATTTATATGGAATTCCATATGCTCTTAAAATTGAATTGTCTCCCTTAGACTGCAGCATTCATTTGGAAACGAAACTCTCTGTCTTTTTGCCTATCAGATCATAATCTGGTTCCCTTTCCTGTTATGGTTCCCATTCAAGATGGCTGCACATCCTGTACTGGTTCCATTTACTTTTCGCAAGTAAGCCTAATAGTACAGTGTGCGAGGTACCAGACAACACATGGACCAGATGTGAATGACTAGCAATATTTTGCAGACACATCAGTCTAAGATGGGAAAGAAACGTAAAATAAGGTAAGATTTTCAATGGACAAATTTTTGTGGCTTCCTTTCGGAGTGTTCCTCTGCTTTTACTGGAAAAATTTACAGTGTCACGTGTTTTCAAAATGCCCTCATTGTTTGTTTTTGACCTAAAAGTAATGAGTGGATTATTTTGATATGAGCATGTGCATCAATATAATAATGGATATTTATTATGCGACTGTTTTAGTGAATTTGTTCCCGAACGAGAGCTGTTGATAGATGGGAAGAACTTATTGATGTCATTTGACTACCATTGTGCATTCCTGTTAGTTTTTGTATAAAAAATCTCGTAGTTCTGAATACAGAAATTGCTAAACAATTTTTTTGTTGATTTTTTTCTAGGGATGGCAACGAGTAACCGGTTAACCGAGTACTCGATCGAACGTCCGAATATCGGTTAACAAAATTGATGTTCGATTACTCGGAAAAAATGTATAATTTCTATTTTATTTGCTATTTAGACATTATATTTAATAAATGTATCCAATTAATTCAGAAATTCGGAGATGTGCATATACCTTCATAAATACCTGTTAAATGCAATCACAACTTCCTTGCAGAGGTGCGAAAATGATACCATAAATTTAATGAGGCGATCAACAGTTTGACACGCGCACATGTGTCGCTTACGTCATCCGGCCTCTTATGATATTTAGTAACCTTTAATTGTGTAATATAGTGCAGTTTGTACCCGAATCTTGTTTTAAGGTAACATTTTTGAAAACAACAAAGGGCCGTATTGCTATTATGATATGATAATTAAGGTAGTATTTAGACCCGGGTAAACTTTTGTTGCCGCCGATTAGTCTATTTTATTACAAGAAGAAAAAGATGGTTCAACTGTTAAACATGTTTTAAACTTGACATTGCATTAATAAATATGTTCTAAAATATAATGTCGTTGATTTAATTTTAATTAATTTGTCTCTTTTGCAGTCCTATCTATAGTTACAAATTCTATGAATGTAAATAGAAAACGAAAGAAGCATGCGGACGGTTTTGATATTGTGTGATAAACTTTGAAGATCATTGGAAATCGTCCGAGTAACCGAGTACTCGATCGGAAAAATGACCGAGTACTCGAGTATTGATTTTGGTATTCGTTGCCATCCCTATTTTTTTCAGTTGGCAATTTACAGTTACATAACTTTTAAATGGCATAATTAAAGTCTTATTTCCAGAATTGCAGAAATATATCTTAAAGTATAGAAATACAATGCAAGATCATATTATTTCAAAATCTTGCTGTTTGTATTCTATTGCAGTTTTACATTTTCACAAAATTAGACATTTTATGTGGTTTTATAATT